TTATTTACTTTACATACAACAATAGTTTAGTTATATATTATAGACTTATAGAAAGAGACCTTCTAAAAACATTAAAATGTATTACTGGCACGTGAAGCCTTAAATTAGAGTGAATAAATGAAGACTTGGCACACCACTTCTGAAAGGTTGCCAACCCCTAATCTAGAATAAGTGTCTCAGCAGTTAGGGTTCCATTGATAACCCCAGTTCTGAAGATGCTTGCCTATTTGAAGTGCTGATTATGTGCATAAAACAGCTCAGAGTAGGGGGAGAGGTGAGCTGATGCTTCAACTTGCACACAATGTAGCTGAGGCTACTTTAAGGGTAGCAGCCAACCAAAATCACTGAAGTAATCTAGCTGTAGCATTACAAGATTAAAAATAAGTGTTCTGCCTTCATCCATCAGAGGACAAACCCACTTCCTTGGAGTTATTACACTGCCAAATACAGGTAGAGAGAAGCTTTTCAGTAACACATTCCATAACTCACTGCTGGACTGAGCCTAGCCAGAAGCAGCTTTAAGCCCAGAAGGCTACTTTCTGGGAAAGAGAAGTCACTGAAAATAAGGATGGAGAATACATGAGCTGACCTGTGGTTTGGCTAGTCTAGTAACCCCTCTCTACCAGGGACCAGCACCAACTGCTTCAGAGGAAGGTGCAAGAATAATAGCACTCATCAAGTATGAAATATTTAACTTCACTGCTGCCCAGGAGCTCCATGTTTTGCATTTATTTGTATGTACAAATACATACAAAGCCATGGTCCATACTGAGAAGAACTTAGTTTATGGTCCTTCTATAGCACTGCTGTACAGCAGTAATCTTATTGAATTCAGTGGGACTACTGTTCAAAGTTACATGTGTGTTCCTAGGACCAGACCTTAAGTGCCAGAGAAGGGGGAAGGATGCAATCTCATTTTCAAGTTCTACATTTTTTGTTTAATTACTTTCTCTGGTTGGTTTCCTGTAGGCATCACAGCAGAGTAAGAACTGAGGAGGAGGGGGTGACCTGGTACAGCAGTTCCCATGATGCCACTGAAATCTTGCCTTTATCACAATGCCCCAGTGATCAGCTTTCACCTAGAAGAATGCTGGGGTTGTATGGAATACTCTCCAATTATACAGCACCTACTACAATGGGCTGCTGGTCCACAACTGGAGCTGCTAGGCACTATAATACACAAAATCTAGGTGCCATTCCTCCTTAAAACCAATCTTTACAATATAGTGTCCACAAGAAAGATGATATAAGATGGGGGGAACTTTGCTCTTCCATCCTCTGAGCTACCTTTAAGTATCCTACCTCACTTCTCCTGTAAACGCTTCAGCATAGACACATTGTATATTTTACGTTTTATACAGCACCACACCCAGTAGTGTTAAGTATTCGAATTAAGTCACATTACAGTAAATCTAAAGACTGATGATTGGGAAGGGGGAAGAGTCATGCATATCTTTGTTCTATAGCTCTCTATTTAATGATCCCTGGCTTTCAGAGTAACTACTCAACTCCTGAACCATGCATAAAGGTTTCCCCCCCCACAAGTTTTGTGATCTTGTTTTCTTTGCAGACAAATAAATTAAAATTTCTACAAAAGTCCTCTAGGCGGTTATTTACAAGGTTAAATGCTAGGTTCAGGCAATAGGCTTCAGTAGTCCTGCAGCGTAATACAGCAGGCCAATCTTAGAAGTAGTCTATTTCTTAGTGGTTTGATTGCTGGGAGAATTTCAGGGGGAAGCCATGTAGTAGTCTACAATTCACACTTTTAACACCTTTCTTTTAGAAGATTCAACAGCACTTACAAGCTATCAATATACAAATCACAAATGTCACCAGTGGGTTAGAGCAGTGGTTCCCAACCAGGAGTCCAGGAGGTATGCAGAGGTCTTCCAGGGGCTACAAAAACTCATCATCTAGAGATATTTGCCTAATTTTACAATCAGCTACATAAAAAGCACTAGTGAATCAGTACAAACTAAAAATTTCATACAGACAATGACTGGTGTGTACTGCTCTATAGACTACACTGAAATGCAATATTTATATTCCAATCGATTTATAATTATATGGTAAATAAGTAAGCGAAGTGTGCTGTGCCACTTTTGTATTTTTATATCTGATTTTGTAAGCAAGTAGTTTAAGTGAGGTGAAACTTGCCATCCACAAGCCAAATCAGACTCCTGAAAGGGGTACTGTAGTCTGGCAAGGTTGAGAACCAGTGGGTTGAGGGATAAATATGGTCATGCCTGCTGTTTCAAAAGGAGCACCATGGGCTTTGTAGTGGTTCCTACCAAATAGGCAGGACTTCTGTTTACGGTCTTCTGCAGGAGACTCACTCAAACTTAAATATATGGAACAATTTGTGTCTTAAGGATGAAAGGTAAGTCAACTGGTGGAATTTAAACCTAAATTTGAAAGACACTAGTGTAATGTTTCAAACATTAAACCAGCTGTGAAATACCACAGCAGCTGCATCTTCCAGCAGTACAAAACTATTCAATTAAAATTATTTCTGACTGAACAGAATCATTAAGCTTTATCTATTATGCCAGAAGGAAACTGGAACCTGCTGTTTATTCATCCCTGGCTGCCTCCTTCTCTTGGTTAACAGATACCTGAAAACCCAGTCTTGTCTTTCTATAATATATTATATGGAAAGAACTATTAGAGTGCAGTTAAAGCTAGGGAAGGTGAGCCTAGAGTCACAGCTAACTGAAGCTAAATCTAAAAAGTCAGCATCCTCACTAATATCTGGCAGCACGCACAAAAAAAGCAAAGCCATTTATATGAAAACATTCATATATATTAGATTAAGATCCCATTGTGGGCCTAAGACTACTGGACATGCAAATAAATTCTTGTTCCTTATGTGGAAATATTCTCACGTGCCTGAATATATTTAACATCACAGACTCAAAGCAAAAGTGAGTGAACTGTTGAAACATTTTATTGTTCATAAATACCCCCTTATAAAGAGAAGACACAGAAAAGCAAAAAAGTTTCAATACCTGGGCTAACTATACTTTATAAACCTCTCCAAACACAATGATGTTCAGGCACTAACTTTTCAATTATTCCTTTGAAATCCACCTAAGGTGGATCAGATGAAGGGTATCTGAATCGAATGAGAACTGAAAACAGATGCTTGGCAAATGTGCACATTTAGCTTTCAAGTCATCTGGTACATAGCTCAAAACAAGAGTTGCTACAAACAAGCATGAACTTCTAGAGCACTTCTAGTTTGAACTCCCCCGCCTTTTCTTAAAATAGCATGAAAGAGCATTAAAAATATACAAAACATTAAGATACATTTACAGGCTTGTCTGCCAATTCTAACCAGTAAATGAAGCTTTAGACACTCCAGCACTGAGATCCATCAAAAAACACAAACACACACACCCTCCCCTCCCCCACAAACCCAAAGCAGTAGGGGTT